ACCTCATTTTCAGAGTCGTCTCTAACATTTAATGGTTGTGAAATTTGTCAAACATATGCACCATTCTTCAAGGGGTGTGCAAATGATGCCATCTCATATCATATTGCAACTGATTCAACTGTTATTGTATCCTTTCCTGTATAAGACATCTGTTGCTGTTGATAAACCAACATTATATGCTGATGCCTAATGGAAAAGTATTATTTTAATGTCCTTTTAAGATATTTGCCCAGTAACCTAAGTAGAGCCAATAATGTCAGTAATTGACTAAAGTGGATGCATTTATCGTGGTGAAAGTAAATGGCAGCATGAAGGGAACTTGGAAATTGCCATGAAAGTTTTTGTGCTTGATGAGGGAAAAAAAAACATAGCTGTCTTGCCTTTCTTAAACATGACCCAGCTGCCTCTTCTGATGGAGCACTTAACTGTGGTCTCTCCCACTTCCCTGTTCTTTCATGTTGCTATTGTGACTGTATGAACTTCTGGAAGCTTTTGCCCACATCTTGAAATCTGTGGCTGAATAGATTTTGAAGTTCTGTATGTGGCTCAGGACCATCGACATGGACACTTTTTACAACCAGTTCCAAAAGCGTTGAGACGTTGTGTAAAATGTTAATAGAATCCAAATTTGGAATTATCTCATAAATCCAACTAATGTTTTTCACAGCTAATGACAGAAAATATCATGTGTTTAAACTGAGAAACTGTACGATTTTAAGAAAAGAAAACTATTAGGTAATTTTAAAAATGGTGGCACAAACATTGCACAAAAAGTTGGTAGTTTTACTGTGTAATATTACAAAGAAACAGCAGGGGAAAAGTTCTCAAATTGTTAGGTTAACTGGCAAAGGGTCAGTAACAGGTTGAGCAGAGATTCAATCAGCAAGAGCGGTGTCTATAAATTATGGAACAGAATAATGATCTGCAATGTAAAATTGTTAAGACTCTGAATATATAATCTACGCATATTATATCACGGTACCTAATATCAAAGGTCCACTACATTAAAATAGGTATGGTTAACTGGGTATCAATACACTGGCAGAGAAACATTTCCAGACACCACTGGGCTTCATTCACTATTGTTCTTACAAACAAATTCGTTTTCATAGAAAAGCCATCATCAGAAACATGATCTACGTACAATGGCCAGTTTGGTTCTTACAGCTGTGCCTATGTTAATGAATGAGACTCATTCAACTCGATCCACAGGCCTATGCTCTCTGCCTACAATTTCCAGTGTGTGCGTCTGATGCCCCAAAGCTGACTCAGAGCCGTAACACCATCAATGGCTGCAGTATGGAACAGATGTGGGTGTGTCCTCATCTCCC